AATAGATATGGGAGAATATCCAACTTTTTAACAAGTGTTAGTTTAGATCTGTGTTCTACTGCAGTTAAAATACACTTAAATTATTGCTAGTCCCAAACTGCACTGAACTGAATCCATCACATTCTTCGCTGCCATCCAAAGTCTTCTTAAATAATGTATTAAAAGAACATTTCCCAGTGGAAAATAAATAAATAAATAAATAAATAAATTAATTAAAAAAGAGAGAAACCAAGCAAACAAACAAGGAGAAAAATCTTCTATCTTAACAGTTTTTCCTCTCTAGGCAACTTAATGGGGAGAAATAACCAACTTAACCAGTCAACAACAGAAGAGAAAAAGTTTGTTAGGAACTTCAGCACCATTTCTGAAAAACTCTACTCAAGGTGTGAAGGTGCCAAAGCAGCCCTTCTGATGTCAGCTGCTCGGGACTCAGCTTCTGCAGTACCAGTGCTCTGTGCCTAATTACCTTTTCAACCAGTGATTCCATTTCTTTAGCAGTTTGGCAGCCTAACTGCTGTGCTGCAGCCTGTTCTTCTTCTGACAGAGGCAAGCGCTAGAAAAAAAAGACATTTGTCATCTGAGCCACTGACAGGACAACTTTAACTCCAAAAGTAAATACTACTGGCTTAACCACTGAGCAATGAATCAGGCTGGCTTCAATCTTATCTACATTTCTACTGCTACACTGTCTTATCTCCAAAGCATCCATGCATGCAATAGTTTCCAATTAAACTACCCATGTTACACAGAGGTTACACAAATGCCTGGTCATGTAGAGCACTGAGACCCAAGTTAGTGACATGGAAGCACTACCTGGAGATCAGTGCGTTGCTGCAGAGCCTGAACGATCCTCATGGTGTTCTCTAGAGCAGCACGGATGCCATTCATGGATTCTCTCTGCTCTAAGGAAACTTTTTCCAGCTGCACACATAACGTTTTGTAACGAGATTTCACCACAGAGAGTTCTTCCAAGAGAGCAACTGGGTTTTCCTATGTAGAAAGGAAAGGTCCATTTAAACTGTCCAATAAGAGAAAATACCTGGGCACGTGAGAATTAAAAGCATGAGATTAAGACCAACTCTTTACAATAAAAGGTGCAGCTGAGAGTATCTCTTTTTTTCACAGGCACAAATGGCAGATGCTGTCAATAAACCTGTACAGCTCCATGGTTCCATAATGAATACAAGAGGAGGCCTTTATTGCGACGACAAATATGATATGGCTTTTCTGATTTGGAAGAAGGTAGAGATTTTGGAATAGAAGGGTTGTATACCCAAGACTACATGTCACAATGCACATGGCGACAAGGGCTTTCTATGAGATTTTCACATGCTGCCATTTGCTGTTTCCCTCCCCAGCACTGTACTCGGCACTGCTGACCAGCAGGCTCCTCTCTGCTCTCACAAAGAGGCTGCACTTCAGGAACCATCTCTAACATCAGGTGCTACCATTACTGCTAACCTTACTGCTCTCCTCTCAACATAAAACCCAGGGGAATTTCACTGTATCAGAGATGCACACTTTCTGCTCATTGCTGCAGCTCATATACCTTGGTGTACATGCAATAAACATCTTACAACTAGATGAAACATTCACATAATTTCAGCTTAAGGAAAAATAACTATTTATTACCAATTTCACGTACAACGCCATAAAATCTATTCATTTAATTTGAAAACACTACCTCTGCTGCTGGATTATCAGGAAGACTTTTCATTATCTCAAATTCCAGTCTGTGTTGAATATAATCCAGATCAGATTCTGCCTTCTGGAACTGAAACATTCAGGGTTAGCCACAATGTATTACAACCAAAACCCAAAGACCAACCTCAGCCACTTGCATACACTGTATTTCAGGAAGGCAGAAGACAACTGCCTGCATTGTAAAGGCTGATGTCTTTCCAGCCCCCCCTGCCCCTCCATGCAAACCTCTCAGGACAAAGCTGAGTCCCGCTGCAGGGGGAGCTCTCTCAGGGCACCACAACCATGCAGCTTTTTGAAACTGGTCTTCACAGCTTGCAGATGTTCCATTTGTTCTCCCCAGACACAAACATATTTCCCAGCAGTTTGTAAAGCTTTTTCTCAGTCAGCTGCTTTGCTTTTCAAACATTAAGAACTCTGCTAGCAAAACTGTAACACTCCATTATTTACACAGCAGAAAGTAGGAAAAAAATCGGAGGAGTCGAGTGTAACAGATTTGGCTGTTAATTACATGAGGAGTTAATTCTCTCAGATGATTGTAGTGACTGTCACACATTCCATTATCCCCCACTAAAACAGACTGACAAACAGATAATACAGCTGATGACAACACATTGCTTTCCTTGGGATAAATAAGCCACCAGAGAATGCTGCCACTGCCTGCATGCAGCCTGCTGACAGCATCAGTACTGCAACTGTAATCAGCACCTGTAACACCTCTGGAGACTTCAGGGGAAGGCATTCAGTGAAATCATTGGGGGGTTTTACAGTGACAGAACAGACTGTGATAAAAGTAAGTCAAAACTCTTGTAATTTACTTAGCTCAGTGTTGTTGTCACTAATTGCATCGAGCTTAACTCTGAAGTAATCAATACAACTTTTGTAAGGATCAAAATAAGGCTGTATTTGTGAAAGCTCCTTATTAACTACTGGGAATGCAGACAGTGAATATGGGTGGATTTCAACATTGTCCATGAAGATCTGTTCTTGAAATATTTCAGTATCGATCACGTGGGAACGCCAAGTGAATGATAAGCCATGAATGCTGTGCTGCTGCTGTCCCTCAGGACAGAAATGGGGACAGGAATGTGCTGTGTATCCATCCTGCAGCCCTGGCTTCACCCTTTGTGCTCAATGAAAACATGAGCGCAGGATCAGCATTCCTGCTTTCTCCTGAAACTGTGCTAACTACAGAAGAGACAAAGGTTGCTATCAGCAATTTCAGAACATTTTTATAGGCCCAAGGATGTATTATCATCCACCTGCCTTTAGTTTATAACCGTTTATTTCTTGTAGTATTTATGTGACCATACACCTCCAAACCCCCAAGTGAAGGTTATGGGCTGTGCCCACCTGTATGACGAGTTCTGCACAGCAGTCATGTGGGAAATGCAGTTTCTGAGACATAAATGTGTAACTTACTCACAGGCTGAGAGGAAAGCAATACAAGTGGAGGCACACGCACGCCATCGCTGCACGCTCTGCTTTCAGATGCTTTGACAATACTATTGCACTGCTAGCTGTGAAGTACAGTAGTGCAATAAAGTCAGAGCATTCGTTAGCAGCAACAATTCTCAACAAGCCAATACACCCAAAATATGTGTTGGAAAGAAGAGAGTTGAACCAGGTGGTGCTTGCTGTGGGTCGTGGACATTGGGTAAGGGAATTCACCAAATCCAATTTGAGAGTTGTTTTTCCAATCACCTCCAGTCTCAGACACAACAGCACTTATGGATGCAGCTCCACAGCAGGGAGCACTGCAGACAGCACTGCTGGCCAATGCCCTTTTAACATTGCACTGCTTTGTGTATGATCACTAGTAGTACAACATAAAAAGGGCGCTGGACAGACACCGCTCAGAGGAACAGGCAGGCTCACCCCTCTACCAATGGTAGCAGAAACCAACTGAAAGGCTCTGAGTGCAGCACCTGCCCGCTTCTCTACTTCTGCTAATTGTGCTAAATGGACGCGTGCAGAATTTAAGTTCCTTTCAGTGCAGACTGCTGAAGTACACACTGAAAAGCACTGCGAGTGAGTCAGCTTTACAGTTTCTTGCATAATAAATCTCACACTGTAGATGTTGTGGTTCATTCAACTCTTCGTGTTACTGTGCTTGAGTGCTGGGCTCCATTAACTGGAGGTGACCATTCACACTGCTTTGTAAGCTCCTACAAGTTAGTTCATCCCTGGTTCCAAGAGGCTGAGGCGAAGCTCTGCACAAAATGCGTGTCAGAACCCCTGGGGAAATAAGAAGTGTTATTTCACCACACTTCTGTGGGGAGAGCCAACCTCATGGGAGGAAGAAGCAACAAGCGGAAGGGAAAGTAAGAGGCATCAGTGAACACAGATGCCACTGTATATATATAAACTTATTGACAAAGAGTTGTTACGTTTCTATAAGAAGTTTACATACAGGAAATCAGTTTCCAAATGGATTCCCCAAATGATTTTGGATAAAGACCCGGCTATAATCTCAAAACCCCTATCATCCACTCTGTGTCCCTTCAGCGATGTTACTGCGTTCTGATAAGAATTAAGAGACTATTATACTCGTTTTTCCTTTTCTTTAATTAGGAATTGAAACCAGTGCTATTAGAATGGGGGAACAGCAGGCAGGAATCGGCTGGGCTGCTTCTCTGTGTTTGTCTCTGCACTGAGATGTTCTTCTGCCATTCATGTGGAGCCCCTTTCTGCTTTGTAGGTACCTAATGCGCAATTTCGTAATAATTTTATGATAACTTTAAATGTTTGGGATTCCAAGAATTCCTGGAAGTTTCCACACAGAGAAAAGACACAAAGGAGTGCCGTGCTTGACAAGCAATTCCAGTGAGAGCACTTAACTCGTGTAAGGAATGAAATGATCTCATTAAGCATCTACACGCATAAAATATTCCCAAAGGGCTTCAGATAGAGGAGGAAAAAAAAAAAAAAAAACAACCAAACGAGCTATGCATGTCACAAAACGACATGAAAGTGCCAAAAAAAAAAAAAAAAAAAAAAGGTTGGGACGCGAAAGGCGCCACAGAGAACTGCGGCTGAAAGGCTCGGCAGCCCTGAGGGTGTGAGAGGACACAGCACCGCCTTCCTTCGCTCTTTAACTTTCTTCCCGCTGCCGGAGGACGGGCAGCGTTACATAACGGCGCTGCGCCGCCGGGCCGCCTGAGAGCAGCGGAGCGCGGTGAGGGCCGGGACCGCGAGGCCGGGCGAGAAGCGGAGCCGAGGGGAGGCCGGGGCGCGGCGGCGGCTCAGCGCTAGGCGGGAAACCGCCGCCCCGCTCCCCCCTACGGCTGTGCGCGCCGATGGGAGCGGCCGTCCGGCCTCCACCCGCCGGCCCAGGTGTGAGCTGCGCCCCCCCCACCGCTGACTGAAAATGGATTCGTCCGAGCGCGCCGCGCTCCACGCCCCCCCAACCCCTCCTCACGGGGCGGCGGGGAAATGGAGCGGCGCGGCCCAATCCCTCCGCGGGGCCTCCAACGGGCGGTGGTGCGGAGCGGATCGGAGCGGAGCGCGGCTCCCCCCAGGTAGAGGGGAGTGGCGAGGCCCGGCCGCCGCGCTCAGGGCGGAACGGAGCGGCGCGGGGAACCCCGCCCCCCCGGGGTGTGGGGGGGCGGCGAACAGAACGGACCGGCCGAACCCGCCCGAGCCGGCGGCGGGCGGCGGCCGCCCCCTGAGGGCCGCGCCCCCGGCCTGCCCCTCCCGCGGGCTCCGCTCGGGGCCCGGCTCCGCTTGGCGGACGGCCGCTCTCCACCCTCGCGCCCCCGGCCGCGCCCGCGGCCCCTTCGCTCCCCTGGGCCGCGGCCCCGGAACTCTCCGAGCCGCGGCCGCCGCCCCCCGGCCCCGGCCCCGGCGCCTCCCGCGCTCACCATGGTCTCGAGCCTGGTAACCGCCGTCTCCATGTTGAATAGTTGACATTCCTCAGGCGGCGGCGGGGAGATGCCCACCCCCCGCCCCGCGGGGTGGGAGAGCCGGAGGCTCCGATTGGGCAGCTGTCACTCGGAGTTCCCTTCCCATTGGCTCGCGGCTGACAGAGGGCGCTAGCTATTGGGCGGGAAGGAATGTAAACCCTCTCTGAGGTAGAGGAGAGGCTATTGGTTGGTGGAAAGGCTGCGGGCGGTGAGTGGTTGGGGGAGGGAAGTCCGCGAGCCGCCATTGGGACAGAGTGGAATCCAGCTGCGATTGGATGGAGAAGAGAGTACTGGGCTGCTATTGGCGAGAAAGTGGAGCTCCGTGAGCTGCAGCCTATCGCAGCGCGGCGAGGGCGCGCCTTGATCCAATGGCGGAACGGAGCAGCTCCCGGCCCACGATTGGCCCTTTCTCTTCTCCCGTCGAGCTCAGGCCCGGCGGCCAATCAACGCGCGGCTGGCGGGGGCCGCGGGTGGAGGCGGCGGAGAACGGCGCTGCCATTGGCTGCGCACGGCGCGAGGAGCGGTTTGAATCGGCGGCGCCGGGGAGGAGGTGAGCGGACTGACGGGGGGTGGGGGGTTGTGCTGACAGACCCCGCGGTAACGGACCGCCGGGCCTGGGGCCGCACCCGGCGGTCTGCAGGAGCGGGATGTCCCGCTGTGTGCCGTCACGGCGCCGTGAGAGGCGGCTGCGCCGTGTGCCCGCTGGGAGCGGCTCCGCCTGGGGCCGCGTTAACGGCTACCCCCTCCTTTACAGCAGCGATGGTGAAGCACAGACGGCGTCGCCGACGGCCGAGAGGCAAAACCAAAGCCGCCCCGCGGTCACAGCGCCCGGCGCCTCCTTGCGATCGCGGCGCTGCCGTCCGCCCCGCCTCGGCTCACCTTCCTCCGGTCGCAGCTGCAGCCCGGCCCTCGCTCTGCCCGCTGCCTTTGCCCGCTGTGACACACGTGGTTCAGCCTTTGGCTGCGGTTGCGTCGCTGCTGTTGTGCTGGTGCCGCAGCGCCGTCGCGCAGGTACGTTGTCTGCTTCGTTGTGCTGCCCGCCCGGCTGCGGGGCTGAGCCGTAAGTGCAGCCGTGTCCATTGCGGCACCTGAAGTACGGCTGTGTTGGATACTGAAGGAAGGGAGCCTTAAACAGGAGGGGAGTCGACTCTTGGAAAGGGCGAATAACAGCAGGACAAGGGGAAATGGTTTGAAGTTGAGGGAGGGAAGATTTAGGTTGGATGTCAGGGGGAAGTTCTTCACGGAGAGAGTGGTGAGGTGCTGGAACAGCTGCCCAGAGAGGCTGCGGATGCCCCGTCCATCCCTGGAGGTGTTCAGGGCCAGGTTGGATGGGGCCCTGGGCAGCCTGGGCTGGTATGAAATGGGGAGGCTGGTGGTCCTGCCCTGCAGCAGGGGTTTGGAGCTTAGTGATCCTTGAGGTCCCTTCAACCCGGACCATTCTGTGATTCTGTAACATCTTCAAATACCTGAAAGATACACATTAAATGTGTGAAATGGAGCTTTTGTATTGCAGTATCAAGAGGATTTGCAATGTCTGAAGGCACAGCCTTTAGTAATAGAGATGACTGCTCACGTTTGATGTGAATCAAGCCTTAGAATTCATAAACAGAGAAGGTCTGTTTGAGAAAATCACTTCTTGGGTTCCTGCTGTTTGGTGAAACTGTGTATCTTAATGCTGTGTGTTCTGCTGGCCTCGGTGAGAACTTTGAGCTGGAACTGCCGACAGTGATCAGAGCTCTCTGGAAATGCAACTTAGTGAAAATATTCATGCGGTTTCTCTTTATTTCTAGAGTTTCACAGTGGTTAAAGAGGTGATATTTCCATCACAAGTCTACTTAAGGGAGCTAAATGCATTCAAAGAGCAGCTGGAGAAGCTGGAAACTGAATTTTCTAGACTACAAGGAATACTGCAGGTCAGTCTCAATCCCAGTGGGGCAGGGTGGTGGTTTTGTGTGTCAGTGAGGAGGAAATCAAGATTTCACTGCAGAGTGTTTCATCTCTCCACATACAGCATTGCTAAGCTGCAGTTACTTAATGTCAAAATGGAGCTGGTTGTCCAGTGAGACCTTCTACCTCTTTCTGGATCAGCTGAAGCCAGAATCTCCTTTCTCAAAAAATTGCATATGCTTTTAGCAGTGGATTTAATATTCTTTTATTTCTGTTGTTTTCAGAAGAGTGGAATTACAACTTTGCCTGCAGAAAGCTCTCACTGTCAGAGGTGCAGTAAAACAGTTCTGGGTGCTCCTGTAGAAGTGCAGCCAAACCCTCCATCATCAGTTCCTGGGCCTCCTGCAGTGCAGCTGCAGCCTACAGCTGTGCCGCCTCCTCCTCCTCCTCCTCCTCCTCCTCCTCTTCCTCCTCCTCCACCACTGCCACCACCAAAACTGCCTGCAGCACCTCTCCTCCTCAAACGTGGCAACGGCTCTAAAGCACTGCTGGTAAGGATTGAGGTGATTCTTCTACTCATGGCTGAGTTCTTTTGTGGGTTCATTGGGAGCAAATCTTTGTGAATGAGCAGCTCCTTGCTGATCCTCATCTCCCTTCCAACCATGTTTTGTTCTTAGGAGCCATCGGTAAAAAAAGATGCACCGATGCACATCACTCTCAAAGATCTCCTGAATGTAAAGCTAAGGAAGACAGACAGCAGCCTGAAAACAAACAAGGTGAACCAGAGGACGTGTGGATAATGGTGCACTGGGGCCAACTGTGCTTGTTTTGCAGTTTTTTTGCAGTGCTTGTTTTGGCCCCTCAGAGAATTCTTCAAGAAATTAACTATTTCAAAATCTCAGTGATCAGCTCTAAGGAATCCTAACTCTGTGTGTTGGCACTGGAAATGAACAAATTAAATGACTAATGCCAATGTCAGCTCACGTGCAGCACAGCTCTTCTGATTTTAGATGAAGGGCTTTACAGTATCAATATATTTTGCAGTTTCTTTTGCCTAATTGAGGTCTTGTTTGCACTTGTTTGTTTTTAAACAAATAGAAGTTTATCCAAGACATATTAAAATCATCATTCAAAAATGCATGAAAGCCATAAGTCACTGAAATCTTTCAGGATGTGAATCTGAAATGGATCTGTGATCAGTGAGGCCTTCTAAAGTTTATCTGTGGTAACATTATTTTCTGTCTTCAGGCAGGATCCCCAGAGAGGACACGCAGGGCATTAATTACAGTCTCTGATTTACAGAGTGTTAATCTGAGATCCAAATCCAAGCCATCAGCTCACATTACAAGCTCCTTAATGTAAGATGCTTTCATTCTTTCTTCAATATTACATTCTGCCCTTCAAAATACATCTTTCTGTTCAGAACAATGATGAACACTTCACACAGTGGAAGCAGTTTCATTTAAACCTGTTTTGTTTTCTTACAATAGAACCCCACCTAAAAACCAGTTAGATCTTCGGAAACATCTTAAGAAAGTCAATATACAAAGGTAAGCTGCACTCTGTTCTCTTGCTTTGTTATTCTAAATAAAATCAGAGAACTAATCCCAATTGCCCTCATTTCCAACCTTTTCAGAAGTCCTGGTGGCACTCCACTAAATAAAGAAAACACTGAATGTGGGACTGGGCTGACACCCATTATGACACAGGCACTGCGGCGCAAATTCCAGGCAAGTCACGATGTCTGTCTTTTTGGAACGAGGCTTTAAAATCCATGCAGTTTCATATGGATTTTTTTCCTGCAGTGCAGTGGTATCAGTGCCCAGTCCATAAGTATCACTCCAGCGTGCTCATTACCCACAGATAAAGGTGTTTGTTCTATCACTCCCATTTTATTGGTGAGGAAACTGCAGAAGACAAGTGGTGTTGCCCCTCTTCCAGCAGGCGATCTGACCTGGCTAAGGACAAAAATGGCTTTCTTTATCACCATTCCAGTATTGTCAGCACTATCTCTAAGATCAGAGATCTATCTGGGTACCAGGAGAACAGAACCTGAGGATTCATCATAACTTCTACCTTAAGGATTGGCCGCATCTGTTCTCTTTTATGAAACATCAGTTAAGAATTACATTTTGTCTCAGTAGCAATTAGTACCAAGCTCACATCCCAAGGTCTGACCCAGCTCTTGTGTTAACAGATGGCACATCCGAAGAGCCCCTCACCGGCCCGGCTGAGCACTGCCAGCAGCTTTGATGAGCACAAGTAAGGTTTACACAGCAATGTGTTTTCATTAATGGTCAGGGAGCTCCTTGGATCACGTTGTCACTGAGGCACAATGAATGTGTGTGAGTGCATTTAGGAAGGGGGCATTCTGAAAACACTATATCCAAAGTCTGCCCTTTTTAAAGGCAATGTCTTTCCACTTCGTCTCAATCTGGTTTTGTATTTTGTAAGACAAAATGAGGTTTTCTCAGTATTTTAATACCTGGCTGCTGCTGAAACAGGGACTGTTGTTCCTGGTGCTGATTCTGCTTGTAATATACGTGTGTTTGTTTATGGAAATTCAGTATTTTTTATAACAAGACTGATCTTGACAGCAATTGCACAAATTCCAAGCAAAGCAGCAGTTATGCCCTCTGGTGCTCCTGAAGTGAACGTTTACAGTCTTCCACAAACAATTACATGGTTAAAAGCACATGAGACAACTGCAATATGTATCGCTTTGGGGCCAGATGAGGTCACCTCTGCTATTAAAGGCCGCACTGCTTGGAGGCGGGCAGCTGAACGCTCCCAGGGCACAGCAATGGAGCTCACTGCCCAGCGTGGACATGGCGTGGCCTTGGGACAGAGCCCTGCTTTACAAGGGCTGGGTTTCAGCCGCACTCGGGCCGCTTTCCCAGAGCTTGGCCATGCATCCTGCATGGCTTCTGCCACTGGAGCATCACCCCAGAGCTTCGTGGGAGGAGGAAGAGCAGCGGGGCCGTCCTGGGACTGGTGATGCTCTGCAGGCAGTTCTGGGACCACCCTGTGATGAAGCGCTGCCTGACACTCCGCTCCTGCACTGCTTGTCGTGGAATAAACTCAGCTCGTTTCAAACCGACTGACCGCGCGTTAAGCTGAGCTCAATGCCCCCGCCGTCACCGCGGCTCGTTCCTCAATACGCGCGCTTCAATCGCCGCGCGTTCAATGCTCGCAGTGCGCGGGGCGGCGCAGGCGCGGCGTTGGCGCAGGCGCGGGGCCGGGCGGAGCGATGGCGGGGCAAATCGCGGGGCCGATGGCGGGGCCGAGAGGAGCGATGGCGGGGCCGGTGAGCCTGCGGGAGCTGCTGCTGGCCGGCAGCGAGGCGAGCGGAGCGGCGGCGGGGCCGGGAGCGGCGGCGGCTCCAGGAGAGGAGGAGGTGTGCGTGGTGGGCATCTTCGGCAAGACCGCGCTGCAGCTGTGCTCGGAGAAAGCGGCCCTGGTGAGCACCGTGTGCGACCGGCAGGTGTTTCCCCTCTTCGAGAGGGAGGAGGCCGAAGAGGCGGGAGGCGGCGCGGGGAGGGAGGGCGAGGCGGCCGGCAGGGACTACAACCATCTGCAGGCGTACTACAGCCAGGAGAGCCGCGTGCTGTACCTGGTGCTCACCTCCATCTGCGATACGCCGCAGCTGCTGCGGGCGTGCGGGGACCTGGCGGCGGCCGAGAGCCGGGAGAACGGCCCCGGGGTGCCGCTGCCCCACGCCGAAGCGCACGAGTTCTGGAAGCACCAGGAGAAACTGCACTGCCTCAGCCTCCTCTACCTCTTCTCCGTGTGCCACATCCTGCTGTTGGTGCACCCCACCTGCTCCTTCGACATCACCTACGACCGCGTCTTCAGGGCGCTGGATGGGCTGCGGCAGAAGGTGCTGCCCTCCCTGAAGGCTGCCATCAAGGACTGCCCCGTGGGCAAGGAGTGGAAGCTGAACTGCAGGCCCTGCCCGCCGCGCCTGCTTTTCCTCTTCCAGCTCAACGGGGCCCTGAAGGTGGATCCCCCCCCGGGCAGGGGCCAGGACCCCTGTGGCCACCTGGAAAAGCCCCCCCCCCAAGAAGCACTCCCCCAAGAGGAGGCTGCAGCACGCCCTGGAGGACCAGATCTACCGTATCTTCCGCAAGAGCAGGGTGCTGACCAACCAAAGCATCAACTGCCTATTCACTGTGCCTGCTAACCAGGCCTTCGTGTACATCGTGGCTGGAGGGGCGCAGGACGGCGAGGATCCCGTGGCCATGCTTCTCGATCAGCTCAGGAGCAACTGCACCATGAGGGAGACGGATTCCCTGCTGGCTCCCACCCTGTCGGGACCCCGGAGGTACCAGATGATGCGTCATGGCAGGCAGCAGCTCTCCTTCTATGCAGAAAGCAGCAGCAGCAGCTCCAGTTCCTCAGGGCAGCTGGTGGACTGTACCCTGAAGGAGTTCTTGTGGCAGCACGTGGAGCTGGTGCTCAGCAAGAAGGGCTTCGATGACAGCGTGGGGAGGAACCCACAGCCCTCTCACTTTGAGCTCCCGACCTACCAGAAGTGGGTTGCTGCAGCTCTAAAGCTGTACGAAGTGACCATTGAAGGCAAAGATGACGACCCGACTTCACTCACTGGTGAACTGAGCTCAAAAATCATGGGCAGCATCAAAGTTCTGGAAGGCTATTTAGATATAGACACCAAGTTCTCCGAAAACCGTTGCCAGAAAGCCCTTCCCATGGCCCACAGTGCCTATCAGTCCAACCTGCCCCACAATTACACCATGACAGTCCATAAGAACCAGCTGGCCCAGGCCTTGCGAGTGTACAGCCAGCACGCCCGCGGCCCGGCCTTCCATAAGTATGCCATGCAGCTGAATGAGGACTGCTACAAGTTCTGGAGCAACGGGCACCAGCTTTGTGAGGAACGAAGTTTAACTGACCAGCACTGCGTGCACAAGTTTCATTTGCTCCCCAAAGCAGGTAAAGAAACTCATTTGTGATTGGTTCTCTCTGCTTAATTTTGTACCTCCTTTAAAACGCCTTCAGCTTCAGTGACCAGTTTGGGCCCTGTGTTCTGAGCACTGTGTTGCAGATAGTGGGAGCACGTACAGTGCGATTGCAATGCACAGGACCAGGGTATAGAAGGAACTATAGGTGGTAAGGCCTTGTTTCATGTTGTCAGTGTCACAGAGGCATAATGTCCAGTAACTGTTCTCACGTCCTTATGCCTTTGCATCCTCTGAATTCTATGTAAAACAGACACCATGGCTCCACTCACATGAAGTAAAGTTTAGGAGCAAGCCTGCTCAGTGATAACTTTGATTGTGCGTTGCTAATTGGAGGTGTTACACTGGAGCTCTTCTAACAAGAGATACAGGGGATAGAAAAGTTCTTTGGGAAAAGTTCTTTGCCCTCTGACTCCTTTTACCCAGCTTGATTGAGTGCAATCAAGGGATGGAAACTGAGATATAAGTGTTGCAGGCAGAAGAACTACTTATGTCTTGTAAGAAGCTTCTAAAAGCAAAGACAATACAGTTTAGAGGTGTAATCCACACTGGAACTTTGTATACAAGAGGGGAAAGAGAAAAGGAGTTACTGGTTTTGTTAGGTAAATAGCAAGGAAGAGAATCAAAGAGCCTCTAGAAATAGGGAGCATTTTATCTGATTGGTTTTGCTTCTAGGGGAAAAGCCAGAAGCAGACAGAAATCCCCCAATCCTGTACCACAACAGCCGGGCTCGTTCCACTGGTGCCTGTAACTGTGGAAGAAAACAAGCTCCTCGTGATGACCCCTTTGACATCAAAGCAGCTAATTACGACTTCTACCAGGTAATTATTGAGTCTCTATTTTTGCTTCACGCGGTGTTTTTGCATCATCAACACAGTCTGTTTTCGGAAAGGACCACAAATCAATGTCCTCTTAACCTTATCAACATGTAAATGTTGCTTAGGGAAAACGTGCCTGGAAGCACGATGGGCTGAGGGGGCAATTAAAGTCTTCTCCACTGCATGCTAATTGCTAAATCCATCCTGCTCAGACTGTCCTCCATTTGCTGTTTTGATTCTCATATAGCACAGATCTCTTGAGCCTGAATTGTACCTTCTGAGCGGTCTGACTGAACTCTCCCGTGCCAGTGACAAGTTGGAAAGTTAACCACGTTTTGTTTTTTGTAGCTGCTGGAAGAAAAATGCTGCGGGAAACTGGAGCACATCAATTTTCCCATATTTCAGCCAAGCACACCTGATCCAGCACCTGCGAGGGATGAGGCATCGCCTGCCCCTCCAGAGGGCGAAATTGAGAAACTTAAAGAGAAAGAACCTCAGACTCAGGGCGAAAGCACAGGTCTGAGCTTAGCCCTCAGCCTGGGTCAGTCAACGGGCAGCTTGGGCACTTACCCACCAGATGCCCAGGGAGGAGGGGACAATGCAGAAGGTCAGGGACAGAGTGGGGAGTCCAAAAGCGAGAAAAGGCCGAGCCTGGTGGATCGCCAGGCATCCACTGTCGAGTACCTCCCCGGGATGCTCCATTCGAATTGCCCCAAAGGCCTTCTGCCAAAGTTCTCCAGTTGGTCACTGGTTAAGCTGGGGCCTGCTAAGGCTTATAACTTCCACACAGGCCTGGACCAGCAAGGCTTCATCCCAGGAACAAACTACTTAATGCCTTGGGATATTGTCATCAGGACAAGAGCTGAGGACGAAGGAGACTTAGATACCAATTCCTGGCCCGCTCCTAACAAGGCTATTCCTGCCAAAAGAAGTGCAGTGGTGATGGGAAGAGGAAGACGGAGAGATGACATAGCTCGAGCTTTTGTAGGGTTTGAATATGAAGATGCACGTGGAAGGAGGTTCATGTGTTCAGGGCCTGATAAGGTCATGAAAGTGATGGGAGGGGGGCCGAAGGAGTCCGCCATCAAAGCCCTCAATTCTGACATGCCACTCTACATCCTGTCCTCGACTCAGGGACGGGGACTCAAGCCCCATTATGCTCAGTTCATGAGACTTTTTGTGGTGGTTCCCGACGCTCCACTGCAAATAACACTGACACCTCAGGTAAGAAATGGAATCTGTTACCTGCAGAGCAAAGGTTGAGTGCTGAAGCATTAACTGCAGGGTCAGAGGGCACAAAGTGGGAGCCAGAGGGTGCTGGGGATTTTTCCCTGAGTTGGAAAAGTTCCTTAATGCTGACAATGGAACTCGCTTCTATGATGGGATACATTTAACTACTCACATAGGAACCTGTTTCTGTTAGAAGTTAAGGAAGGGTGCTAATTGAGACTTGACTCAACACCAGAATTCCAGCAGTAATATAAAAGCCTGCAGTTTAGCTCAACGGATACTTAATTATGTTCTTGTCCTCCTGTCTCACTCATTTCTGATGTTTTTGTGAAAGCCACCAGACTCCACAGGAAGCATTTCAAGTTTATCCTTTTAGAGGAAGGTGGAATGAAGTGGAAGCAAGGAGATGCAGTAAGCAATCTGTCAGCTTTGAAACTGAGGCAAGAACTGAAGGCTCTGTTTCTGCTGGCACCATTTTGTTGCTTATTCCCAGCTTGCATCCATATGATACCTTATAACTCCTAAAAGTGTAAAAATATTTGGAAAATTTGCTATGCTATGCATTGTAAGTTCCATGCATCAGTTCCTCGTGTGAATAAGGCTTTCTCAGTTTTCTAATACAGCTTATAGATGACCTAGAGTAAGTGCTGCTGACATCCTTCACTTGGCTTTCAGTAACAGCTCAGGTGTCTCTGTGCCACAGCATTGAAGTCCCATTGATGTGGTGATTAGTGCTGCCTGGAGGGAGGTGGGCTTGTGGTTTATTGAGAGCTGCAGCCTTAAATCCAGCATCTTGCCTATGGTGGAAGCCTATGGATGGCTCACAGAAGTGAGGCACAGTGGTTTCCTGCAGCCTGCTGAAGTGGATGAGATCCTGACTGTAGGCAAGATCAGTAGACTTCCTTGGATTCATTTGACTCTTAAGTCTTCATTTTTCACGCAGAGGAACAGGTTGCCCAAGGAAGCTGTGGATGCCCCATCCCTGGAGGCATTCAAGGCCAGGCTGGATGTGGCTGTGGACAGCCTGGGCTGCTGGTTGGTGACCTGCACACAGCAGGAGGTTGGAACTGGAT